TGATAAATATTTGGGTACATGATATTTTCACTAGACTCCAGATATTACAGGCAGAATCTAATCTACTGTTATGCCCCACCCGAGTACCTAGGATAGTGCCTGACAAACAGTAGTGATGTTCAACACACATGAGTATTGAAGGGGAAAGTTTCCAGTCATCCCCAATCTGCAGAATTTAGAACAGCAAGCCTACGCTATGGAGCTAACTATCTGAATATAATAGATCTTCCTTGCATTATAAAGGGTTTCATCCCAATAAATCCACAGTAAGGTGAAAATATTACTAAGTCAAAGATGCATTTAAAGGTCTCCCTGGTGGTGCAAGGGGTTAAGTCTCAGCACTATGAAGCTATCAGCAGCAGCTGCAGCAGGAGTTTGGTCCCCAGCCAGGGAGGTGACCCACATGGTGCAGCAGACCTCTCCTGCCTTGCCCACTGCTCCCCTCAGCAATGTATTTCAGTAGATCTGCCTGTTCTGCTCCACATCTGTCTCTGGTGAATTCTCTTACCTCTCCCCAGCCTCTGGCCTGTACCCAGTTCTTGCATGCATAAATTAATATATCTTCAAAAAAAAAAAAAGATGCATTTAATACACCCAGTCTATGGAACGTCATTTCTTAGCCTAGCGCATCTTAAACATGCTCAGAACACTCGTATTAGCCTGTAGTTGGGCAGGACCAGCCCATGAAGAACCTCAAAGCCACGCTGTGAGGTCAGTTTTATTCTGCAGAACAATGGGGAACAATCAGAGATAGTGCAATAGGAAAGTGATGTGAAGCTCTTCCTGAGCCTTTTTATATCTTCCTGCCATATATTGGGTTGTCAGAAAAGTCATGACGTATTTTTTTTCTATGTTTTTCAAGCAAAAAATGCATCATGACTTTATTGATAACCCAATAACTTCTTGGAATATTGTCTTAAATATCCTAACTACTCCTCAAGGAAATGTTTGACTTTGCTGGTCCTCAGAAACCAACTCCATCAGATTCTAAGTTAGTCTCTGCCCTCTTATATATCCAAATTAAAAGCAGATTTGCTGAATCTAATGGACATATAAAGAACAAACTAATAAAAATAAAACAATCCTATAGTGAGTTTGACAACTAGGAATCCATTATTTTTTCATTGTAGAAAATACACTGAAAAGTTGAGAAATCTTCCACAATCCTTCCTGATCACCAAAGACCCTAGTGTTCACTAGCTGTTCTTGGTTTTAAATAATGATCACTTCAATAGCAGCTAGGAAAAAGATTCTGAAGAGTCAGGGCCTGGGCTAGGCATTGGAATATATTTTGTACTTAATTCTAACAAAAAGACATGAAATAGAAGCTGTCATTATCCTAGTTTTACACCCCAGGGGACTGTGGCATGGATAGTCAAATAATTTGCCCAGCATAAATCAGTGAAGTAGAATTTGAGCTCTGCCAGAGGACACATAATCTGGACACAATATAACCACGTTTTCCAGATTTCTACAATCAATTGTGTACATTTCTAACTCCCTACCTGAAAAGTCCTGTAATAAGAAATACTGTTTTCTATGTATTTTCTTCAGTGCCTTGCAATGTGAACTCAATGCTCACTAGGTGAATGAATGTCTACCCTGCAGGGTACTGATAAGACATGATAAAGCAGTTCAGGCATGGAAGAAAGTCACTTTGATGCATCACCATGAGGAACAGTATGGTAATGGTAGCAGTGTGGGAGAAGTATGGTCAGCTTCCCAGATGCGCCCATGACCCTCTCCTTCAAATTCCACATGGGGGCCTACCCTGGTGGTGCAGGTGGTTGAGCGCAGCGCTGTGAAGCTGTCCGCAGCCTCTGCAGCACCAGTTCAATCCCAACTGGCCGGCGAGGGTCCCACATGGTGCGGCAGATCTCTCCTGTCTCGCCCACTGCTCCCCTCAGCAGTGTATTTCGTCAGTCTGCCTATTCTGCTCCCTGCTCTGTCTCTGGTGAATCCTCTCACCCTCCCGTGAATCTGGCCTGTACCCCGGTTCTTGTATAAATAAATAAATAAATCTTTAAAAAAAAATCCACATCGTTCCCTACCACAATGAATCAGGACTCCCTGTCTGAGTTCCCATAATTTTCAGGGCTAGGTCAGAAAAAGTATCTCAATTCCTGCCCTGGGCTCCTGGATCCTTCAGTATGAAAGACAACTATAGCACCAAAATAGCCTCACTCTTTGGGAAGCCACCCAAGTCGCCCCATGGAGAGGCCCGCGAGAAGAAAAATCATCAATAGCAACTTGTCAGCTGTGTGAGTGAGCCATCTTAGAAGCAAATCCTCTAACCCTCAAAAAGTCTCTAGATGACTGCAGCCTCAGCCAGCATCTGATTTCAGCCTCATGAAAGACCCTGAACCAAAACCACCTGAGTGAGCCACTCCTGAATTCCTATCCACAAAAATCAGAGAGAGGTAATAATCATTACTGGTTAAGCCATTAATTTTGAAAAAATGTTTTACATAACAATAAATAAATAATACACGCATAGAAAATGGTGTTCAAAAGAGAAGTAGGACTTGAAATAGACACATCAAAGGAATTGTGGGAGTAAGATTGGCAAAGGAGAGAAGAGAGTTCTAGGAAAAACCATGAGATAAGATAAAAAACCAGACCCACACAGAACCATGAGGCTGGAAGAAATCTTAAAGGTCAATTAGTCTAGCCTTTCATCTAATGCCATGGTCTACCCTTAAAATAATAAATCTAAGGCAGAGCCTGCACACATTTATCTCAGTGGAAGCCCAGAACAGGACTGCTCCATCAATGACACAAGTGAGAACTATTTAAGTCATAATAGAGGCCATTTTCCTGCATTTGAACTGAGGACATTCCTGGAAGTCATTTAATAAGAAATTGAAGGAGGAGGAAGAGAGAGGGCATGAAGTGGGGAGAAGAGGGCTCCCTGGTGGCACAAGGGTGGTTAAGATGCAACCTAAGAAGCTGTCTGCAGCCACTGCAGCATGAGTTCGATCCCCGGCCAGGGAGCAACCCACATGGCACAGCAGACCTCCTGCTCCCCTCGGCAGTGTATTTCAGTCAACCTGCCTGTTCTGTTCCCTGCTGTCTCTGGCAAATCCTCTCAGCCCCCACACCTCTGGCCTCTACCCCAGTTCTTGTATGCATAAATAATAAATAAATCTTTTTTAAAAAAGTGGGGAGAAGAAAGAGGGAAAGGAGGAGAAGAAAGAAGAAAAAAAGACAAAAAGGAAGAAAAAGAATGAGCAATATCAGTACAACAGAAGAAGAAAGAAGAGAGAAGGAAGAATACCAGTGAGAAGAGGGTGGAAGCCACCATCCTAACTTCTTGAAACACATTGTTTCATTTTACCACACAACACCTTTATTTCAATTATTTCATTTCTATTTCCTCCTTTCCTTCCCTGGAGACTTTCCCTTACCCCATTTTCCTGACTTGAGGTAGAAAAAGTGAACAAACTCTAGAGAAGAAGGAGCAGGTCATCAAATACCTATACTTCTGTCAGGAAAAAAATATGAGTATATAAGACTCTAGCAGGATCCAGCCAAGAAAGAATTCACTCACAGCATTAGGGCAAATGTCCTTGGATCAGCTAGGTATACCTCTCGATCCAAAGCAAGAAAGTATCTGAGATGGAAAAGAGCAGCATTCTCTGCCACAAGATATGGCTCCAGAGTTGGTTCCTTTAGAGACCAGCAGTAGACTTAAGGACCCTTGCTGGATGAGGGAAATCCCCACAAAGCCAAAGTCCCGTTTGAGGAAGTAGATACAGGCATTTGCCTGTAACATAAAGGATGCATGAGGGAACTCGTTCTGCAGGCAGCCACCTTCAAGAGATGTGGCCATATGCCCAGTGGTATAAGGAGCGGAGGAGGAGAGCAAGTCCAGCTGGAGGAAGTTGAGTTAGTGGCCCTTCCCACCATGTTACATTCCTGGGAGATGAACACACATGCTGAACTAGGAATAGACAATACAGTTTTTACAGCTTACTCAAGGTACTAATATAGCTGGTCATACTTAAAATTAAACTTAAAATTTAAATTATTTATTTATTATTTTTAAAATATTTATTCATTTATTTATACAAGAACTGGGGTACAGGTCAGATGCATGGGAGGGTGAGAGGTTTTACCAGAGACAGAGCGGGGAGCAGAACAGGCAGACTGACGAAATACACTGCTGAGGGGAGCAGCGGGTGAGACAGGAGAGGTCTGCCAAGCCATGTGGGACCCTCGCCGGCCGGCTGGGATCGAACTGGCGCTGCAGAGGCTGCAGACAGCTTTACAGCGCTGCGCTCAACCGCCTGAGCCACCAGGGGAGGCCCAAAATTTAAATTATTTAAATTTAATTATTAAATTATTTCATTTTAAATAATTTAGATTACATTATTTCATTTTTAAACTTAAATTTAAAAACTGAACTTAAAATTAAATTAAAAGGGGGGAATTACCTTGAAGATCTTAAAAGACACAGCACATACCAATCAAAGGCCCATAAAGCAATAATCAAAAACATCTTAACATCTAAGACCAGGAAAACTAGGCCTTGAACAAATACCCCACTGATGGCACTGATGGGACATGACAGGATAACCAAAGAGAAAGTCTCGGACTCATACCAAGATCTCACATATGTGGAGCCCATAGAAAACGTCATGTGGGTAGAGGATGGTTAGGAAGATACCTGAGAATCTTCTATTGAGAAGACTAGTCATAAAAATAAATTCTTTCTCAGAATAAAATGACATGACCTCTTGAAACAATGGCTTACAGGAATTATCAAGCATCTAGGACAAGCGGATTTGCATAAGGATGCTCTGCTGTCCAATCCAAAGGTCAAAGAAAGCAGTCACCATCACCCAGAGCAAGTCCCGTGGTTTAGGGTAGAGAAAGACATCCTGTGTGTCTTTGCATTTCTCCATAGCCCAAGCACAGACATGTCAGGGAATAGGTACATGGCAAAAGAGGAACCCAGGGCCTCCCTGAGGGCACAGGGGTTAAGTCTCAGTGCTTACCATCATTGAAGCTGTCATTGGTGGCGACATGGGTGAATGGTGACTGAGCCCGGGGCTCCTCACACAGAGAGTAGCTGTGCTCGGCCTGGATGAGAGGTGCTGGGGAGGTTGGGGATGGCTCCACCTCCATTGACACGTTCTTCTCAGAGAGGAAAGGGTCATTCAGGAGCTGACCCAAGACATTCTGGGAAAATTCATCCAGAAGTTCCGAGAAGTGCTGCAAGAAAACAAAGGAAGAACTCAGTTTCTCTTAGCCATAATCTAATATTTATTCTCCACACATATTTTGAGACAAACACATCACCCACTGTTTCAAATGAAGTCACTCATATACAATGTCCAGTTATCGATGGCTTTTAGCAAACCACCCCAAAGCTTTAGTGGCTGAAGATAACCACAGTTTAGTATTTTTGACAGCCCCACAGATGGTTGGGTGGGTGAGCTGATTTCATCTGGATTCACTGGGAGACTGCCATGGACTGGAAAGTTGATGGGGGAAGATGCCATGCTGGGACTGTGGACACCTGGGTCTTCCTTCAAGAGGTTATATAGGATGGATTTCTCATGGATGTCAGAAATGTTCCAAGATGGAGAAAAAACAGCACCAGGTGGTCTCAGAAAGCCTGCCAGGTTAAAATTAGAACCTAGATTTTCTAATCATAGAATAACCCAAAGTCAGGATCTGATTCCCTAAGCAAACTTACTTTTCTGATGGTGAATATTCAGCAAAATTACAGTAACAAAAAGAGTAACAAAGAACACAGAAAGTAAAATGCAAAAGCAAGAGTCAAACTCGCAGTTCCTGCATTTCCAAATCACAATTCTGTCCCTCAAGCTACAGTGTCAACTCTGACCATCTGTGCTGACCTGCTAAGCCTCTGGGGTCCCTTTTATCACCCGTGAAGTGAGGCCCTCTTCGATCGCCCCTACTTTCCCAAGGAAGTTGCCCAGGTGGGGTGCTCTGCTGACATTGTGTTTTCTCTCCCCTGGCCACACTAATGAATGTTTTCATGAACATCCCCTAGATAACCCACAATAAACCTTCTCTAACTCCGCTAACATTCCCTGCACTCATCTGACTTTGGCTGTTGTGGTAATGATCATGTTACCAAACAATTTAGCCCTAATGATAGACAGTCTTCAGAATTCACGGTGTTCATCAAGTGCATTATGATAATCTTCCCTCTAGAAAAAGAACCCCCACAGGAGGAGGGATCAACTGGACCTAACTACTGCCCATACCTAGGAATGCAACATGGGGCCCCAAAGAGCTACTTGAGTTTGGAAAAATATACCCAACTGTCCCACAGAGATGCTGTGACTCAGCCAGGAAATCAGCTCCAGCTGGGTTTTCTTGACAACTGTGGGTACCGGGGCTCAACACATAGGTCAACACTCCATTGCAAGTGCAGGAAACAGGACAGAGTAAACCCATTGCAAATGCCAGCCAGTGAGAGATGGCCAAAAATCAGAGAAAGGAGCAAAGTGAGCCTCTAAGAGGGAGACTTTCTGGATCCTACAAATGCTTTCACAAAAGGACTACTCAAGTGTACCCAAAGATTATGAAATTTTAGGAGCGTTCTTTCAAACACATGGCATAATTCTACCTAATAGCTTAGTTAAGCTTAGTAGGTTTACAAAGTACTTTCGTGGCTTTACTTTCAATCAACACAACAATCCAGCTCCTGACTGAACCTGACCTTGAAGGAGGTCCTCTTACTTCAAATTGTCTGAATATTCCCTACATCGCTTCTCCCAGGAGAGAGGTATTTGAGCTCCACCACATAACTGCACAGCCAGGCTGTGCCGAATATAAAAGCCTGATGATAATGCTCACTGATGATGATGTGTATGCTCGGGTGCTCAGTGATGAACTAAGTGTGTGACATATTAGATTTTCAGAAATGGAGCTAGATGCTTTCCTAGATGATACACACATCCTCAATTATAGATAAGCAGATCGGGGCTCGGGGTCAGTAGTACATCGAGGGGGGTTCACAACTAACTGACAGAAGGGAGAATTGAGATTCCACCCCAAGTCTTACCCACGCACTTTCTACTACAGCTGACACATGGTGGACACCACAGTTAAAAACAAAATTAACTCACCAATGGCCCATCAACTCATCTATTATGAACATCATCCTTTCGCATCCCCGTGTGTGGGGTGGGGGGTGTTGTGACGTGGACAGTTTCCTAGTAATATCCTTTCATTTCTCTCTCTACCCATCACGAAACTTTCTAAGACAAAACAGATCCATTTCTATTGCAAAGTCATCCCAGACAGACTCCTTTTGAATTGATCTTTCATTTTCTTGATTAAATACAACTCCTCAGGGTCTCCCTGGTGGCACAAGGGGTTAAGACACATCACTATGAAGCTGTCTGCAGCCACTGCAGCACGAGTTGGATCCCCAGCCAGGGAGCTACTCACATGGTTCAGCAGTGTACTTCATTAGATCTACCTGTTCTGCTCCCCACTCTGTCTCTAGTGAGTCCTCTCACCACCTCCCCTCACACCTCAGGCCTGTACCCCAGTTCTTGTATGCACAAATAAATAAATCTTAAAAGATAAATAAATTAATTAATTAAAAAAACCTCTTCGGATACGTGGCTCTTGATTTGACATGCTTTTGCTTTGATGCCTCTTTCATTGCCAACATACTTAAATCTTTTATGATTGGGCCTAATAAAAGCTTTAGCCCAGATGGGACCATTTTTCCCACCCTGCTCTGATCCCAGCAGATCATAGATCATCTGCACGCCACAATTATCTCTTGTTTCAATCTAACACTAAGCAAATTTGAATTAGTCTAGACCTCCCATCATTTTTAAGTGAGTGCTAACAGATGTTTGAAAGCATATTCACATTTACAAATGTGATAAAGTGAAGAAACTGCTAGCTTTCTAAACAAGCCTTACTTTCTAACGCTGCCTCTGAAGCCCTAACACTTGTGGTTGCAGGTCATTAACTAGCTGTCACAGGAGCTTGCAAAGGAAGAGTGGTTTATGAGGTCTGAGCAGTCAGCAGCTCTGAGGGTTCTCGGCCAAGGGCCCTTCGCTGCCCGACCCCATTCCGTGATGGAGAGAACACGAAGGCTGGACTGGAACAGCGCTATTCTGGACAGTGTTCATGAAGACTTTTCACCCAGTACTGCATTTACTTTGACGAAAGAAGTAGAGTGACCCTGACTTCAAGAACAGGCTGCAAGCTGAGCCTCCCTGGTGGCACAAGGGGTTAAGTCTCAGCACTATAAAGCTATCTGCAGCCACTGCAGCATGAGTTCGATTCCCGGCCTGCTCCCCTCAGCAGTGTATTTCAGTCAATCCATCTGTTCTGCTCCCTACTCTGTCCCTGGTGAATCCTCTCACCGCCGCTCCCCCCTGACCTCTGGCCTATACCCCAGTTCTTGTATGCATAAATAAAAAAAATCTTCAAAAAAAATTTTTTAAATCTTAACTCAAGTTCTCTCTGGGGGAATGAAGACAAATATGCTTGCCATGGGCTGGCCTACACTGAAAGCTACCAGCTAATTTTCACTTTGTGTAGATCCCTTTTTTCCCCAGTGCAAAGTATATTTTGAGAAAGAGTGTTTCATTTTATAAACATACCATGAGTTACTTTAAAAAAAAAAAAAAGTGGTTCATGGTCTGGGCACCGCCTGCTAACAATTACCCCACGAGCTGAGGGGGCGAGGAAGGAAGAACAAAGTACGAGGAAAAAGTCAAGACTCTCGAGCTCAAATGGCTGGTTGCATAAGCTACTCAGCTGCCGTCCTTGCACTGCTCACCACTGAGGTTCATTTATCCAACAAACAGGGCGGCAGCTACTCCGGCAGGACGCTGGGGGCTGTGGGCAGAAGGACGGATGGAGACGGAGGGAGGTCCTCTTAGAAAGAGAGCACTGTCCTGAGGCCACACGGTACCTGAAACCTCTGGCCTGTACCCCTTCGAACACTGGGCTCCGGGAGCAAGTTCTAAAGCGGCTTTGCCCTCCCTGTCAGCCCCACGGGCCTTTTGGCGCTGGAGCTGACCGCGGAGCGCTGGCCTGGGAAGGACAGGGATTCAGGGCCCTGGCCTGAACTTCGCTGATGGTCACCCACGTCTTCTGGAAGCTGTTTCCCTATTCATAAAACTCTGCGTGTGCATGTGCATGTGCATGTGCATGTGCTGGGGGGTGAGAAGAGAGGAGAGAGGGGGCTTTGGACTTGCTCAGGAGTTTCTCTCTTTTGTGCCGTGTGTTCCCTTTTGAGAGTGTATTGAAAGCTTCCTGATGGAAAAAGGCCCACAAGCCCTGCCCACAAAGCACAGGATTTCAGGTGGCTCCCCCAACCCCTGTGTCTCTGAGGACTCTGGAGAGGGAGGCCACGGATCCCCATTCGGCTCTCCCTGTGGAGATAATAGTAATGATACTCGCATGGCTACAGGCCATGCTAATGACCTGTTCAGCTGAAATGCCCTATTATTTTCTCAAATGTTGCAGGTAACGTACAATGAAGAGGCCAATGCTTTTCAATTCAGGAAAAGAGGAGGAAAACGCCCGCTCTGCTTCTTGGATTTGTTTAGTTTGGCCCCTGTTAGCCCGCTCGGGGGCAGTGAGACTGGAAAGGAGCAGAAAGTAAAGGTTCTGAAAGCAGAACACCCCCTCCAGCCCTCACCCAGAGCCTGCCTGAGCTCCACCCTCAGTGCCCCACAAAGAGCCAATTCTCCAGGCCAGCTGCCCGGAGAAGGGATAGCCTTTGCTGCAGGCCTCTGGCTGGGAGGCTTGTTCTCAGGCTGGGGGAGAAAGTTTTTACTGACAAAAATCACAGTTATGAGCTATGTCTGGAGCACAGAATGCTCCAAACTGGAGCCACAGATTAGGGACGTGGTGGGGGCAAGTTGACCACTCCTTAAAGGGCGCAAAAATCTAGAGGGCATGCTGTCCTGCCTTTGCTCTCCCAGGGTCCCGCCTCCCCACCCCCTCACATAATCTCAAGGGCAGTGCTCCTCAGACCTGAGTGTCCCTGGCCCTGTGTACATGCCCAGCTCACACACCACACAGAAAATGGCCAGATGCCCCCCAAAGGGGAAAAAAGGGAGACTTGACGAAAATCACAAGTGAAAAGTAGCTCACAAGGCAAATCCTATTGCAGTGAAATGTCAAGGAGACCCAATTTTTCTTTCTGGTTCCCAAATTTAAGTACATTACAAATTTTTCTAAATAAAGAAATCTGA